TCTGAATTTGGCTAATACAACCAGGCAATGTTAGACTTTTTAGTTAATTTACCAGCGTACTTAGGAATTATACTTAGGGTTTCCTAATACCCATCTCATAGCCCCAGAAAATCTTAATTTTTTATTTGTGGTCCCATTACTAACAATAAAGTCATATAAACAAGGCTCTAAAATTGTATTTATCTTCAGTACCAGCAACAATAAATAAATAATATATTCTGGAAAGAATTACATAATGCATGGTGGCTTGCAGTAATGATGCAGATAGCGACATTTCAACAAGGACAGGTACAAGATTTTAGATTGTTTGACGTGTTACAATTCAAAAATTGTTTGGCGAGTACATTTTTTCACATGAATTACAACAATGTAAGGCACCACTTGGAAACCACTAATTCCGTGTAAGGGACATCCTGTCAATGTGTGAATGGTGTATCCAAGGTCATTAATCACAAAACTAGTGAAAAGAAAGCGGAAGTAGAACAGTACAACAGCAATCAGTCAGTCATCTACAACGTAGGACCAGGCACATATGTGCATCAGTCCAAGTAGCTGTACCTCATTAGCACAACAAAATGAACAATAAATTTACAAAGTAGCCTCTTCAGTGGTAATAATGTATAAAAAAAGACTGTGTATGAAGATATGACAAAGGGAGAAAGAATGTGTTCGTGGAAAGAAAAGTATAAGGTAATTTTAATCTCATCGTTTAAGGCAGACAAAGAGTGTATACACCTACGCCATTGTGATCGATCCTGAGCTATTTCACCCGGTGTCCAACCATTGGTTATGATAGTCTCGCGGACCCCAACAAAGTAGTCTGCGTCTACCAACATGGCTCAGACTAAAAGTTAGTGACTTCAAGCACTGATGCCACGTTTTGGTTTAGCCGCCCCCAACTTTCTTCCAACCATCCCTAACACTAGTCAGCATTGCGCATCGTGGTAGTCGGTGGTTGGGCATGTGTAATACATGACCCAACCATCCCAGTCGATGAAGATTCACAACCTCATCAACTGATTTGCCACCACCCCCTAATACCCTGCTCCAACCTCACTACTACATACCTGGTGATCCCAGCAGATATGGGCAATATTTCTAAGACATCTGTGATCGAATACTGTTAACTTGCGGGTATCTTCTAACCTTAATGACCACCTTTCCCAGCCGTAAAGTAAACACAGCGAACTACTACGCAGTATACTCGTCCTTTAATTGACAGACAGATATCTCGCCTTCGCCATAAGTGACGTAAGTTGGCGAAAGCCAAACGAGCTTTCTGAATCCGTGTTGAGATTTCGTCAGACACCAACCCGTTAGGGCTGATCAGACTTCCAAGATAAGTGAAGTTATCGACACGTTAGACTGCTTCACTCCCTATCTTTAGTTCAGGCGTTGACGCAGGCCAGTCCTAAAGCACTAATTTGCATTTAGAGGGAGAGAAGCGCATCCCAAACATTCTGGTATTGTTGCTCAGTGCTACCAGAAGACTCTGCATTTTATCAGCGTCTTCACCAAACAGGACTATATCATCTGTATATTCTAAATCGATAAGTGAACGTGCTGGTAAGAGATCAATTCCCGAAAATTCAGACGACGAGAACGTTATTTCCAGTAGTAGGGCAATGATGAAATTGAACTGAAATGGCGAGTGGGCAGCTTTGCTGGACACCTTGAAATTACAAAATCAGATGACAGTTCACCACAAGCTCTGACTGTAATGATAATGTTCGAATAAAGAGCCTTCACAAGGTTTATGTACTTCTGAGGTACACCTTGCAATAACAGATACTGCCACAGAACCTGTCAGTCTGCAAAGTGCTGCTTCTAAGTCAAGAAAGACTATCATTGTCGGACGCCGATAAGCATGCCTGTGTTCTAGAACCGAACGAATGATGACTATGTGGTGAATGCAGCTACGATCAGGTCCAAAGCTAGCCTGGCTTTGTCGTGTTTGCAGTTCACCAGTCTTTGTTAGGCGCCCGATAATTATTGAGGCTAGCATTTTAGATGCTATATTGTTCAAGCTAATTCTTCTATGGTTATCATAGGATGATTTCGATCCTTATATATTGAGACGATCAGTGATTGCAAACACTCAGATGGGATTATGTTCAGTTCCCAGGTTTCAGTTAAAATATTAGTCAACGTAATCGCTAATGAGAGCCCCCAAATGCCCTGGTATGGCCAAGAGTGGGGTGGGCCCTCCCTCCTCGAAATGCTCTCACACGGTCACGCGTATACAGCCTCTGCCAGGGAAGTCCTACTCACTGCATTCTCGTGGCGGAGGTGTTGTTTACGAAAATGAGAGGACGAAAAGCGAATGTCCGGCACCTTAACCGGATCCCAAACCAATGGTGTACATGGGCTCCAGTATCCTGAAGGAACAAATGGCGTATGAACAAATCGTTGGTCACCGGCTGCCATGGGACTGCATCTCCTCACGATGCTCCACTGCCTTATGGGTTAGACTTTTAGGTCAAAGGCTCGGGATGTGGCCCCCTAAGAAAACCACCTGCTTCGATCTGGGCACCCGCTCAATATCACAGCCCACACACACAAATATGGTGTTGCGCATATATATTTGGTGCTCTCTTGTACTAATATTTATGTGTTCAAATAAATAAATTAATAAGTGAGATGTGGCAACTTGGACCGTTGCATATATGTGCCTAGTCCTACGTTGTAGCTGACTGACTGACATCTGGACCGCCTGCTCTTAGTCGTTTCAGATTAACTATAGTTTTTTAAACTTCAATTAGAGTCGGTGGACCTATTTCAATGTTCTATTCATGCTGTTCGGAAATGGTGGGTAGCTATAGAGTAAGTGAAGGCCAGCTGAAATCCTTCTTAAAGTGTTCCGCCCATCGTTCTAACTGAGAGCAGATAAGAGTGCCGTCTTTTTCCGAGATTGTCTCACACTTGACTTTCCGATTCCCGTCCCTTAGTCTGAAGAGCTGTCTTGTGTTACCTACAGCTGCTACCTTTTTCATCTCTTTTACTTTCGTTGCCCACCACTGCTCATGATCGTTCCTTAGACTTTTGGTTAGCCTGTGTCTGATTTGTCTCCGCTCTCTATCGTGTTCGTAGCTTGATGAGTAAGTTTACGTGAGTCTATCAGTGCAATAGATGTCGCAGAAATCCACTGGTTTTTCGTGACCCTTCAAATCACTGATAGATGTCTCTACTGTTTTCACAGCTGTCTGTATCTTTCCAAGCAACATCTGTGTTAGCCTCGTTTTCAAAATTGTCCCTGGGATTCACCTTTGCTTTCTCATGGCTGAGCTCAACTCTAGTGGGTCTTCTTAATTTCGCAAGCAAATGCGTGCTCGTTTTAGAGCATGATCAGAGTCTAAACATGTATTCCATAACGAGAGGCAGTCTTCTACCGAGCCTCTTCAACGATAACTGTTGGCAGCATGGTCGATTTGAGTCCATCGTTGGTTTAATGCAAGGGGTCGCTGTGTTAAACGATGTCTCTCCTTATGCTTAGAATTAGTGTCTGCTAAAAATAAGCGATTGTCTAAGCGCATTTTCAGCAGACGGTCACCATTATTTGTTCTCTGAAACAGAATATCAAAATACCCACCTAAGTGTCTTTCTGTTTGGTTTAAGCTACCTACTTGGGCAACAAAGTCACCTGCTACGAGTACTATTGTAGTGGCTTTGCTTCTTTGATCAGTCATCTTTTGTAACCATTATTATATCAATCTCAAAGGTGTTTGAAATCAGAAAGCAATAAGAAGCGGCAACTACAGTTTATTAGCGGATAGCACAGACAACAGTTATGAGCACATCAAGCGAATTCGAAACATAGAAGTGAACGTGTGTGTACGAGCAAATACAGAGGCAAATATATAGTCAAATCGCATAAGGGCACAGAAAGACTAATAGCAGGATTCGCGTACATATATACATGAGGAAGACAATGAATCATCGGGCGGTATTTATGCTATCAAAATTTTAGCTAGAGTCTGTCATGTGATCAAGCTTACATGTTTATGCAGACATGGTAGGATTACAATGGTACAAATAATTATGCGCATTGTTACTATACGGATAACGTCTGTTAAGGTAAGCTAATAAAAGGGTTTAACCAAAACGTAACCATAATCAAAATTGATTGTAGGAGAGTTGCTATACTATGTCTGAGTGTTCAGCTTTCTGAAGAAGTTCAGTAAGCTGTCTGTAAAATTCATTTTTCACTTCATCCAGTCTACAGTCAGTGGGAGCGTAGGTAGAAATGACGAAAAGTCGACGTGTGTGCCTATCCTTCCGAGTTCTTACGGAGCCATTTAACCGAATAGCACATGGACGACTGTTAACAAGGATCCACTTTAAAAGTGCTGATTCTGCCCTCATACTTAGTGCTATACCTACACCTACCAGTCCACGAGAATTTGCCGTCGGGTCTTCACGGAAATCCGTGGGTAAGGCGTGGTGTGTATTTTTAGGGTCGGCGGTTTTTAACCCCACCCTTCCTTTGTGGGAAGACAGCATCGCTGTTATGCTGATTGTCTGAGGAAGACATACTACTGCCGTCACACCTCTGCACAGTCAGCAGTACGACTTCGCCCTTGGACCTTGAGTTTGCTCCTTTTAGTCGTACTAGGTGAACTCAGTCACAATAATGATCAAACATTTGAAGTTCCTATAATGTCACTGGTGAAATAGAATTTGTTTAAGGATTCCACTGCATGAGATCGTGCTCTGATATAGTTTCTTTCTGCCCCTAGTGTAGAGTTTCATATCTTTGTTATATGTCATGGTTTTTAATTTGATAATGTTAACCATTCATTTGTCACTGCAAAATATTCGTGTATATATAATCAAAATCCCATCTCACAAAATAAACTTCCAATCTGGAAGTATTGCCGTGGAATAGTGAACCATTTTACCATTTGTCTTATTCTATCAGAAGTTAAAAAAAAGTAAAAGGTCAATTTTGTATGTCTTCAGTCTTCTTTATTTCTCTACTAACCCATTTTGCTCTTTTTCAGTTGCTCATTAATAGGGAGACATTTTATTCTCTACCTTTGGATGTCCAGCAGATGCTGTCTCAACTTTTACCACTGTTTGATCATTGCAGAGAGATGTCTCTTAATAATTCTGTTTTAATTGATGAAAATGATTATAGTCCATCACTTTCTTTATCTTCTGGGATTGAATCATCTGAGCAGTCAAATACTGTATGGTTACATCCTACTGCCCTCAACAACGAATTTTTTACAAAAGCCCTCCAAGACTTTTCTGATCGCCAAGCTAAAGGTGAATTCACCCCACGTATCCGTAACCGAGCTGGTCTACGAGCCCATGTAGGCAACCGGTATAGATACACTTCTTCCAGTGATATGCTCCAATCAAATACAAACAATAATAAAAAAAAGACATTTGTTCATGAAATACGTACTAAGAAATCGGTAAGTACTGTTTCTATCAAGATCCAATTTATCAAAATCGATAAATATGATCCTGCCAACTTATCAGAATTATAGCTATTTGTTACTTGATTTTAGGGATACGTAGATTTTATGGTAAATACACTTTAAAGATGGTAGTGTTTAAATAGTTGAAAAACATGAACTTCTTAGATTACTTTTCATTTTTGTTAAAATTGAATGATTCACATAAACTTTCCGGAGATATTGAGCTTGAATCAGAACAACAGACACGTTAATTGTCAGTTGGAACTCCAAGTTACAAGTACAAAGAACGTTTTTTTCCAGAGGACTGAACAACGAAGTAAAATTATTGCTATGGTTATGTGATATTCTGACGATGTTTTCTAAGCAAAGTAATGAGTTTTAGGGACTAAGTTAGTTTCATTTTCTAAATCATGAGTATTTCCATACACTGGATATCTCTTTGCTTATTGGTGTTCTTTCTTCCGCCTCCTGTCACGTAAACCTGTGCATTCTAAATGAGCATCATTAAATCATTCCACCACCTATTGGGAGGTTATTTTTGTTTCAGTACTATCAGTCCCTGTATGGTGCGTCGTCAGTTTTCCCGTTTTATAAATGTCTTCGTAATAATAACTGGTTTCACAAAAGCAATTAAAACTATCGATTTAGACCTGTAAAGTTAATTCTCGATGTGGCATATCCTACTTGTTTTTATGTTTTTTTCTTCACTAGACGTTTATCTTATGGTAAAATTAATTTACGTCCCCATATTGCTTAACTCTGCTACGTTAATTGATCAGACAAACCTTTTGAATGAGTTAATTTATCAGGTTTGGATCTCTAACAGAGTGTATTTTGACCATCATATCAAACATTTGATTCTGTATTTTGTTTAAAACTTAAGAACTTGGCACAACAGAAGCTAATATTGAGAAAAAATGATAATTTATTGAAGGTATTAACAAATTTTAGGTTAATCGGAATTGTGATCAAACAAGCGCTCTTTATATGAAAAGCGACAGAAGTATGTAGTTGGATTTTCAGTAGTCTCAACCATAAACTATGTTTAAAAATGCTATTATCTCTATGCAGTTCACTGGCTTAAGGCATCATCAAACATGGCTCAGAATATAAGCTTTCTTTTAGGTAAGAGAAACTCGCTTGACTGGAAGAAGTCTTTCTTGACCATGTTAAAAAGGAAACGAATATATAATTCAGGGAAGAATTATAAGTAAGTCTTCATTTACACTCTTGTTTTCTTCTTTGCGTCGGCATAGCGACCGTGTTCCGTTGTAGTAAGCAGCAGGTAGCAGTTATCCCGCAGTCATACCAACACAGCCTTACTGGTAGCTGTAGCAGTAATCGGCGTTTAGTTCGAGTCGCAACAGTGACATCTCAATCTTCTCCCAAGTCTTTACAAATGTTATTTTTATCAGCTGGATCTTATATGCTATTCTTAGTTGCATCTTTCTCCTCATCCTTCCCAAAATGAGGCTGGTTGTGTATATGGTTTACCTATAAGGAGGTTATACGTGCTTCATTCCTCCCAATTAAAGTTACTTTACATAGACAACGGCTAATCTGACTGCTTAATGTATATGCAATCACAAGTAACGGTCATCATTTTCAATGACGTCTTACTGGTCCTGGCAATACAACACTACTTTCGTTTGTTTGTTCCAAACTGGTCAAAAGCAAAATTAGAGGGGAGTAGCTTAGCCAATCAACCTTGCCTGACCCCAGTACAGAGGTGACAAAAAACGGTAGTCCCTTTAATATTAAGATTTTTTGCAACCGAAGGTCCAGGTAAGTCTGGTACGATAATCTCTTATTAAAATACGGTAATAGCTAAAACAAAGGTTTCGAGTTGCTGTCACTCAAACACCGTTTGGAATATTCTGTCTCAAAGTGAATACTGATCTTGTCACGTTTTCCCCTAACTAATTATCTACTAAATTCCTTTTGGATTGAAAAATATGTACTATTGTGTCTCTTGTTTAGTACTTCGAATTTGTGAGCCACATAGTTTTGCTCATTTGTATAACTGGTAACCACTTTTTTGTTTTCTTAAAGTCTGGTCAAACAAATTCACGTCGTTCATCCCGATCGAAACCAAAGAATTTCAATTGCAGCGCACCCAACAACGATTTTCATCATCCATCACTTTTTACCAACTCACCACCAGTAGATACCTCTCTTATTTCTTCAACACTTTCTGTTTCTGGTTCATCTGTTAAGAATTCTCAAAGCAAAAGAAATCGAAGCACAAGACCTTCATATTTGCAGAGTGATGGTAACAATGAATCTATGGTAGTCTGCTCCCCTTCAACAATACAACTAAGAGAAAGATTGAAAGAGAAGTCAGAATGTTCTATGGAATCCAACGACATTGAGTTTGAAGGTAGTATTGAGAATAAAACCTCGGATTTGTCAGAACTCTGCACTTTTCCTCTGGATGATACTTTAAATAACAGTATACCCAGCTCGGGCAAATCATTTTATCCAGCTGATCTGGAAAACAGTGAATTCACAGATTCTGTTTGTTGTTTATCAGATAGAAATCGTGATGATCGTTCTCTTTCATTAAGTCCTGCCTACAACGGGCCATTAGTTTCACCTTCATCTGTAGGGGATTCAAATAAAGGTTTAAAACTTTGTGATAAGACTCTTGAGTCGGAAGACCTTAAGTTAACAGATTCTCCAAACACGAAGCCAGTGAGTCCTAGTATTTGTCGATAATTCTTATGGCACTTACTATTATAAATTTTTTAAACTGAGCAAGTTTTTGATTCAGAACGACATGTGATTTTATTTAAACTGAACTACCGAACATTTGTCTTGAGTAGCTTAGTAAGGTATCACTTTGATATACACAATCTTTCTGTTTGTTTTTTACTTAATAAATAGGGGCTTAGCACCATAAGACATATAGGTCAGATTGTAGGTTCTATCGTTAGGTTAGTTTGTGATCTACAAAGCGTTATAACTTGTGACCCTTGTTCTCTGTTAATATATCACGCGATGTGATCGTCAATTCGAGTCACTGACTTATTGACAGGACCAATGGCACATAAACCAGTACGAGCAGTCTAGATTTCTTATTGATCCTTGAAATAGTAGCTTCTCGTCTAATCCAGCCGATTCAGTCCAGAAGGCAAATATCAGTCTCCGTTATATCGAATCATATCTTTCAAACATACAAGCAAAATCAGACATCACACCATAAAACAGAAGATAACATTTATACAAGATCAATAAAAAAATGGATATGATTGTGAGAAACTGTGACTAATAGGTTGAGAATAACTTGAGAAGAGTAAGTCATATAACAGTACCAAATAGGTCAAATAAAAGCTTATAATAAGAGGATTATAAATCTACATGGTTTGGTTTCTTAACAGTTATATAATAGGAATATGTGTATAGTATTAGTCCATAAATAGTTCTCAGAAGTTACCTATAATTTAATCTTCACTAGGATATAACACATAGATGTTCCTCTCAAATTGTTTCACGTCTGTAATAATTTGACTAAGTGTAAAATGTTACTTATCATTTGTAGCTCAATAATATATGTGATTATGAACTTGCAACGTTTGCGGTTATCTATTCACGGTCTATGCTTATCAAGCTACCGTTTGTGGAAATTAAATGTAGATGTCAATAAGTTAATGTGACCAAATTTAGCTATTTCAATCAGTAAAAGCTAATTATTCCGCTGACTATCTGATATCAGCATTCTTTGTGGCATGTTTACATAATTTGTGTACAAGACTTTGAGAAGTGAACGAAAATTGACTTAAAACATAGATCATATCTTTTGCTATTGGTTTTGGTTCACAATTACATGTGATAAAACCCGTAACTATGCTGAACACTATAATTAGCAAGTGAATATTTAGTTTAACCTATCTGTCACATTAATAGATAAGTAGACAGTTGTATTTATACTGGGTTTTAAAAGTTTTTAAGCCTGTTTACTATATCCATCGTTGCCCAAGTACAGTAAGCCGTTAATTTGATCACTATTGTTATTGATACAGACTATCCTTGCTATATCATTTTAGTTGTCAGTGGTCTAGCTCATGAACTGAGTATACCAAGATTTTCATTCAAGTAATAAGGGACTTTTAGATTCTGTGCTTTTTGGTTCAATAGAAGTTGAAGCCTACGCTTGAAGAAATGGTTTAAGAATAATCTCAAAATGCATAACTTAATTCAAACGCAGCGAATGTTTAAAAATACTCAGTTAGTTGGCATCCGTTACCATAAATTGGAGGTAAATGTAATCACAACTTGGTTGTATTTTTCACATTATCAATAAATCATAGAAATTACCACTTTCACAGCCCCTAATCATATAGCTAAAAGACCAAACGTGCGGTATTAACTGCTCTAATATTGTAATCCACAGCTCACGTGATTAAACAAGTAAAATACCAGACTATATCGTACCACAATTTATGAATCATAATAGGTACGTAACTAAAACATGTTTACTACTAAATCGAATAAACCATTGATAGTTAACTGACTTTTTTTGATCAGTAAAAGTTATAAGAGGGACTACATAAAACTACCATTGAATAACTCTGACAAATACGACTTAAATCTATACATACGTACATACTAACTCACCAAAGAGTAACTGTGCAAGTTTCATGTTTCCTTACTTTCCATGTTTTCATAACAAATATAAAATAATCATTCATAAGATAAGTGTATGCATATATATTTTCCTGTCGATTCGAACTATCTTTTTCTCAATTAATAAAATGTTTATTTATAGACTCATGCACGGCGACTTTCATTGGATTCAAAGCTAGTGAATCCCTCTCCTAACAGACAAAATAGCACCAGTAATTCTTCACGTTCTGCGCGACCATCACGTTCTTCTAATTCCAATAGTTCTTGTGGGTCACCGTCTATGCCTCCACCTCGACAAACAAAGACGTTGGCTGCCATGAGAGAGAAGCTGCGGGCAAAACGTATGTTAAAGGAATCTGAACGCAGTATAGTGGGTCAGCGTTTTTATGGTCTGCCGGGCAGTATGACTCCACATCCTTCGAGTGGTTCAAGTGGGTACTTCCAGAATCGCAATTACTCCACCCCTGTCAATTTTACCCCTTTGGGCGAAACCGAAAATAAGCAGTCACCGTCTATGTCTTCGCCTCCACTCAGAACTCCTATCTCTCCATCAGCAAATGATGGAAGTGTTCATTCTGTTAACGTGTCATCTTTGCAAAGTGAAAATCAAGAGATAACTAGACCTAATTTGGCATCTGAAAGCCCTTGTTCCCCACTTTCTGCTCCAAGTATTAATGTCATGTCTCCACTACCTTCTGTAAACAACGCCTCTTCCGAAAACATTACTGCTACTACTACTACTAACAACAACCTCGATAACTACACTTACTGCTCTAATAGTTTCGCTCAGTCGTATCCATCTTCTCCTCATCTGTCAAACTCGAATGCTAGCATTGTTCTACAACAGTCAGTTTTTTCACAGTTGCCTAGTCCTATGCATCCCACTAAAACACATCGCTTCGAACAGAGTGTTTCCGCACCACCTACTCCCTCTAATGTTCAGTCAGGGCAGAATTTTACAAACTACCTACATCAACCGGGGCATTCTTTTTCATCTATAGGACCATGTTCCAGCTCTTCCGCTCCTTTACACACGTCTCAAGTAAGTCCAACTGCGTCTTTTGGTTCATACCCATCTCCAGTGTTTGGCGGTAAGTCCTCAGTACCTTCCAGTGTTCGAGCTAGCACTTCTGATTCATACTCTTCACAAATTGTAACTCAACCAGTTTCAGGTAGTAGCTGTCCTACGAGTAGCATAAGTTCTGTAGTCTCAGAAGCTATAGTACCGTCAAAGTCATTTTGTCAAGCTCTCCCTATTCTTATGGAACCTACAACTTGCCCAGTTCAAGCAACAGTAAAATCTATTCCATCCTTGGACACCATTTCTATCAGCCCTTTGACATCTGTTTCTAGTGTTACCAAACTACTTACTTCTAATTCACACCAAAGTCGCTCTTCCACAACAACCCGCGCATTCTTTGTTGATGGCGATAATTTATCTGAAGCCGTCGCGTTCCTCCAGAGTTTAAATCCAAAAGCTACAATTACTCAACAACAGTTTTTGCTCATCCCTGGTGCAAATAAATCTCAAATGATTTTGTGCAGAGCACCTGTAACCTGTTCATCCGAAATTATATCTCCTGTTGCAACGCAAACTTCAGTTTCTGTATCACGTGCTAATTTAACTTCTTGGTCCAAAAACGTGTCTCATATAACAACTTCAAGTACAACAAGTGTGGGTAACACACATATTACTGTTCCTACGTCTGTTGTTCCGAACGATGTTTCACTACCGACAAACGTTACTGAGAGGAGCTCCACGTCATGTAGTACACCATTTTTTGAACCCTACCGATCCAACAACTTCTACGCAACCCAGTGCAGTAGTGACAGTTCATTTCCAAAATTAATGAAAACTTCAGAATTACAAATTCCTCGTTCTCTAGTTTATTCCAAATCAATTAATGTTCCTTCATCAAATGGGTCATCATTTCCTCTCAATATTCTAATTTCTCATCCTAAAGCATTGGAAGCCAGCAGTGAACGTACGTCCCTACTTCAAGTTGTAAAATCAGTTTCCTCTCCTTCCAAGGTAGCTATTCCATCGTCTGCTAATTCTGTTTCATGCTCATCTCGCACATCTGTTCCTACTGTTCTTAATTACAAGCAACCTGTGTCCCATTCACAGCTTAATGTGTCGTTGTTAACCCCTGGACCTTCCGTAATCAATAATGAAGTCCCTATACTTTTTGTCCAGGATCGTAACCAACATCCTATAAGATCCCAGACTCCAACTCGACCTGTCAACTGGGTTCAGCGCAGTTCATTCGATCAGCATACGGATCTTACCGATCGATCAACCATCAGTTTACCCATTTTGTCTACTGCAACCGTGATAACAACTCATGCAAACAACACCGGTGAATTTCGTTGTTTTTCCCATCCAGTAGCTCGATCTGGACCGTCCATGCAACTTTCTAACAATGGCTCTGTCTCCAGCCACTTTGGTTTCCAACCAATTCAATCTGTGCAACCGTCTAACCCTACAGGAAAATCTTTGGATTGTACTCCATTCTTATCCGGTCCAACTGCAACTATTATGTCTCCATGCCTACCTGCTGTCATACTTTCACATCCTATAACAATTCAGTCAACTAGTAATATCACTCCCTCCCAACAGAACATTTTTAACCGATCTCTGCCCTAAGCAGGGTACTAAAGGATTTAATTGATTTTTCTGAATAATTATTTACCAGTTACTTAGTTGGTCGCTTATCAAATGGGAATATTTGGATAGTATATGTTTTGGATACATTAGGAAGCAGTTCAGTCATTTTGCAGAACTCAAACATGGATTTTATGTTTTTTTCTAGAGCTCGTTAGTTCTCGTTTATTATTGAGTTCCTACAAATAATAGCATCATCAAAATTTAGTTATGGTGTATCACTTTTGCGTTACTTTCTTTCAATTACATTGGGATGCATTCTTTTCCGTTTTAATTTAAAACCACTTTATCCCCATCAATTGCTAGGTTACAATTGTCATTTCAGCATACTGCCTTCTTAATCTCACTTTCTGAAGCAAAACTAGTCCCTTTTTTCCTTTATACATAAATATATATGTATGTCCTCAAACTTGTTTGCGTATGGACGTAGGGCATGGCATATTATGTTTCTTTTTTCCTTACTGTTACCTACGTTTTATAGGTCCTTTGTATCTCCCTCTTTTTACAACCAGTTTCACAAATGTGAATTTCGCTGTTTTTAGCAGTCCATTATTTTTAAAACATTGGGTCAATTTCCTTACACTGCAATGTTTAAAATATCTTTCCTAAATCCTATGTATTTACCTTCATTAGTCTGCTTCAAATAAATGTCTCATATTTACTTAGAATACATATTGTTTTGAAAGTAAATTCATGGCTGTGTCCATTTAGAAATCTTTTTCCTTGACCATGTTTTTGCACCTTTGTTCATACTACCTACTACTTAGGCTATCTCCGCACATACCAAGCAATTTTTAAATATTCTGTCCCATAATACTTATTTTATCTTCTTATTTAAGGCAAAACTAATCGTGTTCGTTTACTTTTTTTATTGCCGTGCTGCTCATTTTTATACCTCACCTAATAATTAACTCGATTTTTCACGATGTGTGGTATTTAGTTGTACAGTTTATTTGTTTATTCCAAATACCCTCCACACCATTATCTTACTATTTCACGTTGCTATCTAATTGATCATATATATATCTTACTACAGTTTTACTACTTAATATATCGTTCATTTATCAGAATGGTGAACATTGTGTTTCCTACATTTTTCAATGATCTGTTTATCTAGAGCCAAAATGTAAGTGTGTACAATATGTTGGTGGCCCCTAAGGTAAAAAATTCTTTATAATACTGAAATTCATATGCGGGATACTGAGTAGATGCATAAAGTCTTTGGTTTAACGCGTAACAGTAATTGTGTACATTCTTGTCAATTTAGTCAACGAAGTGTCGTTTGCTACCTTAGTACAGATGTTTGTTCCAAGATTGTGACTTGGTATCGATATCAATTCACAATCGAAAACCATTAGATATTACAGCTATGATTGTTTCACTGAGCCATTGTCACAGTTCTAAGTTCAAATTTTCTGACTTGTATGATTTAAACTATCCAATCTGTCATTTACTAAACAAATATGTAGGACATACAAATATAAATACGTGGGACTCATGAATAGTAACTGTAGAACATTTATTTTTAGACGAATCATTTACAAGAGCCAAAGTTACCCATCCCGATTTACATTTACTGATGGTATAAATGTAAATAATTAATATAGGATTCCTCACTACCTAATCAGTGAATATTTTAGAAATATCTAGACTTTTATGCTATCTAGTTTAAATCAGTGATTCTTAGTCATTTGTGATCTTTGACTCGTGAGGTCTCAGGAATCACGATATCAGTTTCTTAGTGTAATGTTAAAAATTACATAGGCAAATCAAATTCGGTATTTATTCATTGAATACCTGTGGATTATGTAGTGACAAAATGTGATTTTATCTCTTATAAGTTAATGAATTTTCAGTGGAATAGTATATCGAAGGATCGACATAATTATAGATTATACGTTAAAATTTAAGTGCTCAGAATTCTCTCAGTGAATTATTAGCGGGCAGCATTCTTTAGTTTGAGGATACCATGTCAACCGTAAATGCTTATTTTCTTATACTTATATGTGGATTTTGGGCACAAGTTCATTCGGACGGTGATTTCTCAAAAAAGTACGATTTATCATAATTTAGTTAAATTATTCTTGGGAATTACTTTTGATACAAACTGAAAGATATTTCATTGGTAAATAAACTGGTTTACATTTAGAAAAATATGGATGCTGTCACTCACCAATTTTATCATTTATTTACGACATTAATTTGGCCCACTTAAATAACCTGTTTACGGGGATAGTAGATGTTCTGTTTCAACATCAACTACTGAAATGTTGGTCCATTTAAAATTTCTCATGCAAACTATTAGTTCTGATTAGTAAGGAAACCATCTACTTAACAGTTTGCTATAAACAACTGAACTATCCTCGTTTCTGTTCTTTGAGTTGTTTCCTCTCCAAAATATCCACTCATTATTCTTGGTTCCAAAGAACCTTTAATGTCTGCTCTACGACCATGACTTCGCCTATTCTCTAAGATATCTCTGAAATCTAGTCGGTAAGCCATTGCCAGAGTAAGAACTGACTCACCCTACGTTTCCAAGTTACATAAACGGAGAGATGACTAACTATAGGGGACGTGCTTAAGAATAATGACAATTTGCGCGAAATGATATTAACACGAGATAAAAAGTGAACCCATATGTGCCACTCCAACCACCAATTACGATTGTCAGGCGCATTCCAGCCACGTATTTTGTATCTACTCACATACTTCGGACCAACACTCAATGACTTTGTAGGCTGATGACATGTATTGCTTTGATCGCCCCTACACCAAACACCATCGCGTGTCGAGGTAGTCATTGGTTTGGCATATGTAACACATTCTAGTCACCTCAGTTGAAGAATATTCACAGCCTCATCAGCTGACTTGCCATATTTACTTAGTGAGTTGTTTTACCACACACGAAGACCTCTATGATCGAATATCAGTAGTGTAGAAATGTATTCTACTCTTGAAAGCCATACTTCATAATCATAGAGTAAAACCCAGCAAACTCCTACATAGTATACTCGCCCTTTAACAAGTAGATAGGCATCTCTCCTACCCCATAGGTGCGAAAGCCAATCTAAATTTGCTTACTCTTCACCCGATGGTCACACTAGGGTTGGATTCAGAGCGGTCCTGAAACAGTTTGCACTAAGAAGTAAAGTGACCCGTCTCAAGCATTCGTGTATTGTTACTCAAACTGTTCAGAACACCATATATTGTCGGCATCTTCAGCAAACAGAACTACATTAACTGGACACTAAAGTAATTAATGAGTCAAATAGTAGGTTAACCCTTGAATGTCAGGCGGATGAAGTGCTATTTCTAAGTATATAGTCGTGGAAAAAGACTAGATAAATGTATGGATACGGTTAACCTTAACGGACACCATGTTTGACGGGCAATTCCGTTATAAAAATCTGTCTCACTTCCAATTCTTACTACTGTTTATGTGATTATTTTATCTTCGAATCCATCATCTGACATTAAAAATTGTGGTATTTCTGTCGACCTACAGGTATACAATTATTATATAGACCATCTCCATACATAATGGAACCAATCACAGTTTTCATTCTATTGTCAAGTAATAAGGGATTTTTCATATTTTCATCCTATCTTATTTGTCGTTCGTGTGAGTCAGGACGTAAGCGACTTGTGCACAACATTCTACGTTTGTCTATACATTTGTTACCTTGTTGTATATATATGATGGTTGCCACCTGATATAAAACTAACTTATTCATTAATCATAAACACATGATGCAGAATCCTTGAATGAAAACTGAGCGTCTTTTACTTCATACAAGAAAAATTCTAATATGTGTGTGCAATTATCACATGGAAATCTTATTACCTCTAATTAGTGAATTATGTCATTCAATTGCTGACTGATTTCTCTGTTGTAGGATATTTAACATTAAAAAATTTGAAGTGTAAATGTGCTGTGAGTAGGTGACATATACTTTGAACAAGCGTTTCATCACTCATATTTATCAAATGAAATAATTTTTTGTATATTTAACTTTACATAAATATAAACCAGAAATTATCAATAATATATTAGTGTACTCATTCATATTTGTAAATCAGTGACTGATAACAATGCTACCAGTATTTTCAAACTATGGTCATACATATAAAACATAATTTTTGTTATTCACACATTTAAATTTGTGGATGTGCTTTGGGTTTTAATGATCTCTGTACGTGTGCTCAGTGAAATAACAGGGACAGTTTCAAAACATTTGGGGTTAGTTAGGTATTAACAATTAAGCTCGGGAAATGAACTAATGGAATCCAGAAAAATACATTTATTTTAATTATTTTGTTTTCTAGTAACTTGGATCGATCACTAATTGCCTAGTAAGAAGAAAATTGGTCTTCACGATATTCATCTGATGTTTGTATCATAATACATCCTACTGTTCTATTATTACATGAATGAAGCCAACGTTATCATAACAACTGTTGGCACTTGATCTGAAATATACTTTACACAATATACTGGTTAGGTTTTTCCATAAGACTCAAACAGCCTAGTCTGATATACCGTTCAATATGTAAATGATATCCTAATTATCGGCAGGTGATCTTTGATATGTAAAATGTGACTCACTGAAAATATTTTTATGCCTGAAGTCCACGTTACGATCATATTTATCAGATCACGTTAAGCTGCAAAAAGGCTTGTGTGTTTTTCCTATAACTTCAGATTAAATTACTCAGCTATCTTAAAATATGTCATTTGTCTAGATAAACCTGTAAACTAAACTAAGTTGAAATTCACTTGGTATTGTTTTACTTGAATCTTACCATTGATGTTTAGGACTGCAATTGATCAGTCTCTTGTTGGCATATGTACATACTGTGTGTATTACCTCGATATTGCCTTAATTCACCAGCATTATAAGCGTAGGTGGATAGTGGATAATGGGAAGATTCAAGTAAAACAATACCAAGTGGATTATATTTACTCTTGTGTTTGTAACAAC